TTTCTTTTTTCAATGGTTTTTCTTCTTGCCACTTTCCCACCGTGCCAGATTTGCAGAGTGCAAAACCAATAGTTGGACATATTTCCTCCATTTGAGCCAGTGTGTTATCAATGCTCTCCTTTCCTGGATTCTTACTTTAGGTGGACAGGTTAGCAGTTGGTCCAAATATAATGGTACTTTAACTGCTTTTAGCATCCTCTCTGCCTGTTCTGCAGTGTTCCTTGTTCTTCATGATGCTCTTTGTTCCACTATGTTCTATCCAAACCTCTGAAGAACTTCACAGAACAGCTTGATTTATACTGAAATTACATTTCTCAAAGTTGATTCCTATTAATGCCAGTTAATTGGTTGCACTTGGCTTTATTTAGGGACATCAGGATAAAGGATGCTGAATGCAAATGCCTGCTTCAGGTATAATCCCAACAACTGATATGAAAGCTTGTGGGTGTAAAATGACAAAGGCTCATTGGTCTAAGTACTTTTTCAAGGCACTGCATGTTTAATAGCTTATGAGAAATATTTTCATGTTTTTATTTCCTTCTTTTTTCACTTTTTCCATTATTACCTTTCGTTTCTCCTGGTCAAATGCCTGCAGTTTCGGATTTCTGTTATTTGATGAATCCAGCAAGTTTTTAGGTTCAAATTCCTCACTAGCAGGTTTCAATTTGGCACAATCTGACTGACATAAAGCCACAGGGGAGTCCCTGAGGTGAGTAAAAGCAGACAGTTTAGACTGTCTGTCGCCACGTTTAACTCCAGTCGGGTCTGGTTCTGAGAGAGATGTTCTGCAAAGCTCCTGACACGCTCCACACATACTGTAACGTGATATCAATACAAAACCCCTGTTTGCAAACACTTCTGTTGCTATTTTTCTAGCTCTTTTGGTGGCAGCTCTTCTACTGGCTGTTATTGCTCTTGTATTTGTGGTGGTACCATACATCTACAGGTAAACATACATTTTACACTTTATGTCTTTACTGATTATTCTTCTAAAAGAAAGCCGGTAATCTTGTTGTTCTTGCAGAAGGCGTTGCACATCCAAGTGTGTAAGCTTCATCTGCCACCAAGATTCACTACGCTCCATGCATAATGTAAGTAACATTCTTCTTTAAACAGTGTGTTAAACTGGTATGTTTATAAATAGAGTTTAGTGGGTAAAGAAGGCTGTAAAATAAGGTTTTTTAAAAAAAACAACCAAATGCATAAAAATGATAATGGTTTAAAAGGTCCATCACATTGCCTTAATCCAATATTTGCTAATTATTTTAATCAGCATGGTGTCCAGACTAAGAAGCACATTAAAACTGCTCCAAGTCTCCAATCATCAAGCCTTTTTGGAAGACACTAATCGAATGATTGATGCAAACGTTAGGAGAGCAGAGCTTTTATGAAAGCTGCCGCATCACTCCAGTCGTCTCTCTCAGTGGCAAGAACTGAGCATGAATAGCTCCCCTCATTGGACTAAGCAAGACGTCTCTATCTTCCATATGCCGTTCGCATGCCATGCAGATCCATCATGACATATTAACTCTGCTGTCTTCCTGCTCTGGCTCTTTAAACTGGTGCATGGAGGCCAGTAAATCGGCCTAATCCAGCAGTTCAGTGACTGACTGGCTGCCTTCAAAGAGAGGGAGGGGATCATTTTAAAAAGTCATGACCCTGATGGCCTTTTAATTTGTAGCATTCATCAGAGTTGAAGTATTTTATGTAAGATGTATAAATTTAATATTCAATGGGATTTATTGTGGATACATCTGGGCATAGGCAAGATAAAACATGTTCATCCTATAGGTATTCATACTTTACATTGAATTAGGGGTCTCAAACTCAAACTTTAAGGTAACATTAATTACTTGCTTAATGTGCAACCCTGCTGTGTCATGAACCAAGGACAGATGGACCCAGTATTCAAGGAGAGACAGTCAGTAGGAAAGTTCAAAAGGTTTATTAAATGAAAAACAAAACTAAAAGGGGAGCTGCTAGGATCTGTGGCACGCGGCAACCGCAGGCGGGGGGTGGGGCACCGCCCAATCTCAGATACTCTGGTTTAACAGTCCAGTCCAAGATATCCCCAGCAGTCCCAGAGGTCTTGCAGGAGAGCCGATCCTGGAAGGGATCCAGAACAGACAGGAAGAGACAGAACAGGATCCAGATCAGGCTGGAACAGACAGGTGGCAGGATCCAGGCTTCCAAACATCATAGAGCTCCAAGGTGGGTTCAGAGTCTAAGAGTTCCGAAGCATGACCAGATGGTCACGCACAGGAGCAGACAGGATCAGGTGCAGATGAGCAGGCTCAGTGGAAAAGGGGAGCCGAGACAGGACGTGGAACCAGAACTTGATGCAGGACTTTAAACTGGTCTCCTCCCTGGAGCCAGGCTTACTGGATAAAAACTGAACCTCCCCACATAATGAGCCTAAAACCCAGAGGACTCTGCGGGGGAGGAACAGTGGACGATCAGGAGATGAGACAAACACTAAAATACTCTTTCCACTGGCTGCTAGGATCCAGGACATGAACCATGAAATCAAACTGAACAGACAGACTGACAGAAAGACAAGAAATGATCTGGCACTGAATGCTCAGGCTGAAATGAATATAAACCAGAGGAAACAGGTGAGAGGAATAAATTATAATTGAGGCAGGGAGGGAAAAACGACAGGTGAAAGGAATGACTAATTAAGCAGGAGCAAACAGGCCAGATCATGACATTTATGGCCTAAGAGCTCAATAGACTTTGGTTCAAATTGGGCGAGATTTCGTATCTCCAGGCGGTTTATGAACATTTTTGGAATGGAAAACGTGAGTCAGTGACATCTGGCAACCGACCGCATTGTAGAAGTCTTGGGGATGGTTTTCGTGTGATGCTTGAAGATAGATCGGTTAATACACAATGTGCATTCGTGTTTTGTTTCATTCAGAAGCAAGAGTTTACTCGCAGTTTGCAAAATAAAAAACAGTTAATTAACTTATCCGTGTGGGGAGCTGGTGCCTATCTCCTCCTGTCTATGGGCGAGAGGCGGGGTACACCCTGGACAGGTCGCCAGTCAAAACAGGACAAACAACCATTCACACACACACTCACACCTAAGGAGAATTCAGAGAAGCCAATTAACCTTACAGTCATGTTTTTGGACTGTGGGAGGAACCCGGAGTACCCGGAGAGAACCCACGTATGCTCAGGGAGAACATGCAAACTTCATGCAGAAAAAGCTGGACAGGGAATCAAACACAGATCTTCTTACTGCAAGGCAGCAGTGCAACCCACTGCGCTAATGAGCCGCGCTTAAGAGACAATAGATTTATTTTATTGTCTGCTTGCTACAGTATAAGCTAAGTCTATTCTTCAGCTAAAGTGGAGGCTAAATGTTGCTTATTAAATCCAAAAATCATTTGCTGCATTATTAAATGTTGAAACATAAAACACTTTACTACAACGTGTGAAAATAGCTGTTGTAAAGCGCTCGGAATAAAATAAACTCCAGAAATCATTGCAAGGGTTCAGCACAAGATGATCGTTGTGACTCAATGATTGCTTTTTCCTTTCTTGTTTAATTCTCATGAGGAAAACCTCCCCTCTTTCTGGAAACAGTCAATTAAAAATCTTTTAGCGTGTTCAACAACTCACCATCTAGCAACCAGCTTCACCATCTGCCACTGGCTCTCCCCTGCTCAATACAGTAGAGCCCATAAGAGGAAACTGAGGGATATTGAATGTTGTTCAATAAGGGCCATAGTTTCTTGTTTGTTGCTTCAATGCACAGAGGCTCAAACTTCAACAGAGATTTTGCATAGAGCCTGACAAGCAGCATCCTGCTGCTGCAGAGGGGAGGTTATTTCAGAGAGTGGCCTCAACATCTGATTACAGTACTTGCATAACATACTCATGAAATCAAGTGTATTTTAGCTCACATTTAATGCCGTTTAATGGCTACTTTTGCATATTTGATTAATTGTTTTACATATATTACTTGGGAGGTTTAGCCTCCCTAGTATTCATTGAGAAATCCCCACTGGTTCATACCAAGCACATTTTCAACAAGACGAGTGATCTATTTTTTTTACATGTTATCCCTATGCAGAGGCGAGTTCAGGAGCACTGTGAGAGTGATGCAATGGATGCATTTCTAACGCCCAACCGTCAAGACAAAAGCTATTTAAATTTAGCCTTCAAATGGACTATTAAACCAATCCTCATTCATCCTCCTCCTGTAGTTCCAGAGATTACCCCGGCCACCTGCTACTGACCCGCCACTTCAGCCTCATTCTGCTCCTTTCTCTCTGCCTGGTGTTTTGTTCTAATCCCCCCGTCCTCCCTAAAATCTGCAACTGTCCTACCTTAGCTCCAGACAAGGGTCTCACTCTGATTACCCTTTATGACCCTTGAGTTACAGAACACAGCCACCTTCTGTTGTCTTGGTAACCAAGCCCTGCAGCGGGATAGTTTCAGGTGCTGGTCACAAGGTAACCATCGCATTATCAAGCTCTAGCTCAGGGACTCCCTGAACTGGAAGCATCTCTGGAGGATCTAGTGGATCCAGGTTCGCTGGCACAGTGACTCGGTAAAACCCAGGTCTGCCACGTTGAGTTGAAACCAGCAAGCAGCAGATAGAAGCTCTCTCTATTTGAAAATGCTGTGGAAAGATAGTAGAGGAGTTTTTCACCCTCCATGTGATTATGCTGGTGATGTTTCAGGACAGGGACAGCACCCAACTGTGGCGACTTTGTCGCTGGAATTGCTTTCAGTGTGAACGCTGATATACTGATACAGTGGGGGAAATAAGTATTTGACCCCTTGCTGATTTTGCAGGTTTGCCTACTTACAAAGAATGCAACAATCTACAATTTTAATCATATGTACATTCTAAAAGTGAGAGACAGAATCCCAGAGAAAATTCCAGAAATTCACATCACATGAATTTATAAAAATTGATAACCATCTGATGAGGAAAAACAAATATATGACCCCCTACCAAACAACAAGTATTCTGGCTCCTACAAGCCAGTTAGTCTTTCTTTAAGACCCAGCCCCAATCCAAACAAATTATCTACATTAAATACACCTGCCTCACCTCGTTTAAAAGACACCTGTCAACACCCAAACAACCAGCATCCAACATCACCCCCATGGGCAAGACCAAAGAGCTTTCTACGCACATCAGGGACAAGATTGTTGATCTGCACAAGGCTGGGATGGGCTACAAGAGAATCAGAAAGCAACTTGGAGAGAAAAGATCAACTGTCGGTGCAGGTATCAGGAAATGGAAGAAGCACCACACCACCGCCAACCTCCCTCAGTCTGGGCCTCCACACAGGATCTCGCCTCGTGGGGTGTTCCTGATCATGCGAACGGTGAGGAATCATCCCAAAACCACAAGGGGGGAACTGATGAATCAACTGAAGGCAGCTGGGACCACAGTTACAAAAGAAACGGTTGGTAACACACTACGCCGTCATGGATTGAAATCCTGCAGCGCACGCAAGGTCCCCCTACTCAAGAAGAAACATGTACAGGGCCGCATGAAGTTTGGCATTCACCACCTGGACGACTCAGAAGAGGCCTGGAAGAAGATTATGTGGTCAGATGAGACCAAAATAGAAATTTTTGGCCTCAACTCAACTTGTCGTGTTTGGAGGGCAAAGAACACCATCCACACCGTCAAGCATGGTGGTGGCAACATCATGCTTTGGGGGTGCTTTTCAGCCAAGGGGACGGGACAACTCCATCATATTGAGGGGAGGATGGACGGGGCCATGTATGGTGGAATTCTGAACCAACATCTCCTTCCCTCAGTGAGAGAGCTAAAGATGGGTCGAGGATGGGTGTTTCAGCACGACAATGACCCTAAGCACACCGCCAAAGCAACAAAAGAGTGGCTGAAGAAGAAGCACATCAAGGTTCTGGAGTGCCCTAGCCAGTCTCCAGACCTGAATCCAATAAAAAATCTTTGGAGGGAGCTTAAAATTCGAGTTGCCAGGCGACAACGTCGCAACCTGAATGATTTGGAGTCTGTCTGCAGGGAGGAGTGGGCCAACATCCTTGCCGAAATGTGCACAAACCTCGTCACAACTATAAAAACCGTTTGACATCTGTGCTGGCCAATAATGGCTTCTCTACAAAAAATTAACATACATTTTAATAAATTCATATGATGTGATCTTCTGGAATTTTATTTGGGATTCTGTGTCTCACTTTTAGAATGTACATATGATTAAAATTATAGATCATTGCATTCTTTGTAAGTGGGCAAACCTCCAAAATCAGCAAGGGGTCAAATACTTATTTCCCCCACTGTATACCACTAGTATATAAAGATATACTAGTGGTGTCCAGTGGCGTTCACAGACTTTTTGAAGGTCAGGGGTGGGAGAAAAAAAAGAAAAAGGGGACACATAGAGCGTCCTGTATAATGCCATTTAGCTCGGGTTTTAGCTTCAGAGAGGTCACTTATGCCTGTGTTTCTTAACAACAGGTCAACAAAGGAAGGCGACCATGTCCCTTCCCTGCATGCATTTCGTCACCTTAGACAGCTGGAGATAGGCACCAGCACCCCTC